CTGCAATCGCAACAGACAGCCAGCGCCTCTCACACCTGCTCTCAGAGAGCACTCTTCAACAAACCGACATATGCGAGCAGTGGAATCACATTTCCCGCTCATTAAGTACCGCCGTCGAAGAAACATTTCAGCGAGCCCGGAAGAACAACTGGTACGATGAGGAGTGTCAGGAAGCTGCAGAGAAAAAAGATGCCGCCTACAGGGCCACGCTGCGATCGGGCGCAACACGCGCTATGTGGGACCGCTATAGGGATCTGAAGAGGGATGCGAGACATATTTGCCGCAATAAGAAGAGAGAGGCCGAAATACGTGAATGCGAAGAGCTTAAAATGCTGGCCGACAAGAAGAATGCCCGAAAATTTTACCAGAGAGTTAGGCGACTTACGGAAGGTTTAAAGACCGGGGCGTACTCCTGTAAGAACAATAATGGCGACCTTAGACCGTTCGTTATTTTAACTATTTTTTTAAATATACAGTTTGCCGGGCGGAAAAAGATGTCTTTTGGTCTAAAAATAAGCTGTGCAAAATTTTATTCGAATATAATAACTCTAAGTACGTGCGCGTTGCATTTGAAAATTTAGAAAACCATATGCATTCTGGGAAAAAAATGTTTAACAAAATAGTTGAAAGTCGTGAATTTTATAGTCATTTGCTATGTTAAATAACTCACACAATCTGAATATGAGGTCAGAAATTAAAAAAAGTAGAATAGGTTTTAAGAATTTGCGAAATTATCGTTTTTTTTTCAAATTGAGAAAACAGCATTTTCAATTTTTTTTCAAAAATATCCGGTTGTGATTACCACACCACAAAAAGATCTCCACCAGATTAAAGGCCTTTGAAATCCCTACGAACCTGCTATACAATGTTTTGCAATCAAATTATCAGTTTAAGAGTTATCTGCCAATTTATCGGACACAATTTTAAGTCGCATCGTTATTCTACTGTGAATTACACCTAAAATCTGCAAACTTTTTGTTCTTATTTTTATGCCATGTTAAAGCTTATTTAATTTCAAAGTATATAGATCCAAATTTTTTCCAAATCGATTTGAAAATAGAAAAGTTATAGCAAATTTAGTAAATGAC